TTTCCAACCTAAGGATAATGTAAGTTTGCTTAATGCATTTGCTGGGAAGACAAACTTTTACATGAAAAAGCTACCTTTTATGAAAGCACTTCTACATAGGGACCTGATATGAAGTCATTCTTACACTGTCATTTGATACCCTTACCATATGGTCATATGCTATTTTCCCTAAGTTGACAAGCTCTCACAATAAACATTGTCTTCTTCAATGGGAACCAGACAGCAAATCCATATAAAGGTACTGTGGTCATCTAAAATAAATTAAAAAAAGGGAACACGGAAAAATTCAGTAAGGATGGATAGGTTCTTGCTACTTTGTGAGAAATGGCATTTACTATGGATATATATTTTTTAAGAATATTAAGAGATTGTTTTAATAATATTATCCAAGATTGCTTGTTCCTGTATTTGTTCAATTATAGAGCAGGCCATAAGTGTTTATAGACAGAAGCATTGAAAACAACCAGCTTCTGGCAGACAAGATATGACTGAACATACTGCATAGAGGGTAACATTATTAATCTTCACTGTTTAATACAGCAACCCAAAGAGGCCATCTGCTTGTCATTTGCAAATGTTTCATAAAACCTACTGAAGCATAGATGCGGATGGCTTGTTGGGACTGTGATAAGAGACAGGAAAAAGAGATACATATATTAATTATATTCATTTCTAGTTGCTTATCCTTTAGGAAATAAACAATACTGTTTCTGCTGAACATGAAATAAAAATGTTTAAAAATGCAGATGGGTGTTTAAAAATGCAGATGGTGTAAGCAACAATCAGTTGCTTACAGCATGCTTCGAAAAATTCAAGCTTCACATGTGAATCCTTTATCCAATTATTTGTTCTTCCTTTCTTGGATTATAGTAATTTTAAAAACAAACAACAACAAAAAACAAACAACCAACACACACCCCCTAAAAAAAAAGAAAAAAAAAGAAAAAAAAAATTACTTGGTATGAATGCTTCATTATTGATAAAAGACAAAACAGTCAGAAAGCTTTTGTCACTAATGAAAAAGGATGTACTCAGAATGAAAAACACAGTCAAGCCAATGGGAGGGCCAGTGTTCATGAGTCACATTAGCTCTTTGGTCTCCACAATCATTTGCTGAACAAATTTCAGGTCTGCATAAATAGAAGGAGAAATTATATAAAGACGCTTATGCTCCTAATCCAAAATGTATTATTTTTCTCTTGAACTCTGAGTCTTTGTCATTTCTATTATACTTATTCTTTTATACTTATTCTATTTTACAGGCATCTAGCTCCCTTTCAGTGAACAAAGTTAGGTAATTAGCAGTACTGCCAAATTTATGTCTACCAGGGACTTTAATTACCATAGAGGAGTACTAGTTTCTTTAGTGGGCAACCAGGTTTGTGACATACCGTTGTGATCCAAGTCTTTTAACACTTCATTTTCAGGTTCTTAATATAGAAAGAAGAGTGCTCTTAAACTTGATATCTCAACTGATTTCTTTTGCATTGATTTCTATTTCTTTTTAACAGTATCACAGTCCCTCTCGAGCTGAATGACTGTGGTCAAAACATTGCCTTTTTACCTGATTTTTGAAAGGATAAGTCTACCTACATCAGATAGCTTCTTCCAGGGCCAGACAGATCTTTAGCCAATTAGTTATGATCAAATGTCTAGTAGACATACCAGAGACTAGGATGATTACAGCTTCCCCTTTCTCTCCTGCTAGCACCACTTGCGTCTTACAACCCCATTCACAGCATGTCTGGCTCTATCCCCAAAATCAGACATATTTTCTCAATTTATTGATGACTGTTCACAATATGTTTTCTACTATTCTGCTGTAGTCTCTCATTAGCAGAAGGGAGTTTGGTTGGCTTTTGATACAGAGAAGCATGATTTACTTTAGTCTGTTACATTTTCAAACAGGATCTGTTGTTGAAAATAGTCTTGCAGAATATTATCTGTGTGGAAGATTGTACTTCACAGTGGTTGCCAAAGGCTCAGACACTGTCTGGCAACTAGATTTCTGCAGCACTCTCAGATAGAGGTAAACCATTTTAAAGGTGATCAAGAGTATGTATATGTACTTACAGGATGTAAGTACATAATGTAAGTAACAGTATGTATATGTACTATACAGCATTTCACCTGTTCTTTCTGATCAGCTAATCACTGATCCATAAACAAATATGTGCATGTTCTTAGTTTATCCAATGGCAAGGTAAAGCACATTATTTTAAGCCCCATAGTAACTAATCCACTATTTCAGGTACTTTTTTAAATGTATGAAGTATCCAAAAATACCTTCAGTCTTTCATAAATACAAGTATCCCAAAACAAAACAATAACCCACTTGCTACTAAGTTACAACCCACAGCATGTTGGCTAATTCCTTCCCAGTTTAATTTAAAGATTTCCAACCTCTAAGCTCATCACAGACAGTAGATACAAGACTTTTGGATGATTTCCAGAAACAGATTAAAACACATGACCCACTACGATTGAGCCATGCTGTTGAAGTACACTTTACAGTGGTTTTCAGACTGCAAACCTTCATGACTGAGCTATGTCTTTGTCACAATTCTGGAGAACAAGAATTCAAAAGATCCTGTAACCATACAGAATCTGATGGCAACTGTTCTTCTGTTAATGGAAGATACAAAGCCATTCTCAACAAAAGCATTGCTTTTCCTGTGATCAATAATATGTTAAAATATTTTGCTGACAAGAAATTTGGCTGATTTTCCCACCCTAGTTTAGTATTAGAAATATAGGCAAAGAAAATATTCAGCTTGCAGATGGGTAAGAGCTTAGTGTTTAGCTCCTACTTTTCCTTACTAGGGTTCTAGCCAGAATAACTTTCATTTTCTACTCACCTCTATATTTTCCCTCAAAAATGGCTTTACAACCCTAATTGCCAGCTTTCTTACATTGCATGTCACCTCCCATGCCTCCTCTTCTTCCCCATTCCCACTCATTCTTCATTCCCAGGCTCACAGCTCTGACTCCAGCCCAAACTATTTTACTACAGGTCAGAGTTATCCTTCATAGAATCACAAAATGGTTTGGGTCAGAAGTGACCTTACAGATTATCTAGTTTCAACACCCCTGCCATGAGCAGGGACACCTTCCACTGGACTAGGTTACTCAGAGCCCCAACCAACCTGGCCTTGAACATCTCCGATGATGGGGAGTCTACAACTTCTCTGGGCAACCTGTTTCAGTGCTTCACCACCCTTATAGGAAAGAACTTCTTCCTAATATCTAAACCTATTCTCCTTGAGTTCATTTCCCCTTTTCCTATCACTACATGTCCTGGTGAAAAGTTCCTCTCCAGCCTTCTTCTAAGTCCCCTTTAGGTGACTCATTCCAAGAGGTCCACATCTTTCTTGTGTTGGGGGCCCCAGGGCTGGACACAACACTCCAGGTGGTGTCTCACAAGTACAGAGCAGAGGGTAAGAATCACCTCCCTTGATCTGCTGGTCACGCTTCTTTTGATGCAGCCCAGGACACATTTGGCTTTCTGGGTTACCAGTGCACATTACTGGTTATGTTGAGCTTCTTGTCCACAGACACCCCTAAGTCCTTCTCCCCCAGGCTGCTCTAAATTAATTCTCCTCCCAGCCTGTGCTTATGCTTGGGATTGCCCCAACCCAGGTGCAGAGTCCTTCCACAGTGTGAAAACAGGGCAGAGAGACAGGCACAGAAGAAAACCTTGCCACATTCACTGTATGCTGGAGAGTCTTGCTCAGCTTGTCCTACAGTACATATGTACAGAAAAGCCTAACTGGCGGAGCTTCAGCTGATGAACTTCCAGCTTATGGTTGAAGGAACCCTTGTAGATTGGTCCACAGAAGCTTCCTTCTCTGGCTCTCCACACATCTGCCCCATGTAAAGTGTTTCCAGGAGGGGAAAAAAAAAACAGAAGCTTTGAGAAACTCAGAAAAAGATATAAAAGTTTAAAAATCCCATGTACAGCGGAGCAGATTAATGCTTCATTAGCACAACCATTGCAGATGTTCAAGCATTTTAGTTTAATGAACAATCTGAAATACTTTTTTGTTGATCAAAATGTTTTATTTGAAAGTTCAAGTGTTTATAACTGTAAACAAATGTAAACATTTCTTCAGAAGGAGTTACAAAAATTTTTTTATACATTTATTCACTTCATATAGAGCTACTGCAATTCGTGCTGCAATCAGTATATAGCTTCAGCCAACCACAAACTGCTAATTTCTCTGGTATGTCATCTATTATTGCCCAGATGCAAATAGAACTTTTATCAGAAGTTCAGCGAAATTGTGAATGTAGTGCTGATAATTGCCTATGACAAACATGTTGAACCATACAGTCTTCCTACTTTATGTTCAGTCAAGTGTCTCTGATGCAGCAACAAATTCATTCTCCCCAGTGGTTCATCAACTGTATACTGAATAATAAATAATAATAAATAACACAAAAGAATGTCAAGGTCTCTACTCAGGAAATTATTTACAGAGATGCTGCAGATGCTGTGGTGGCAAGAAGTCAAGCTGTGTACATATACAGTTTGATTGTCTTGCACTGTCTTTGAAGTACTCCTTTGTGCAATCTCACTTTCTGGAGCTCTTCTACAGACCATAAATATATGTAGCATTTTACAGCAACTGAATTCAATCCATAATACAGTTTACATAATCCATAACATTTTTAGATTCATATTTTAAGTTAATAATGGCTCCTCACAGAGCACATGCCAAGAAGTGAACTTTCCAAACACTTTCCATATGCATCAGTCTTGCATTACTTATAGTGGATATTATGCTGCCTGGCCCAAGTTGCTTGACCATTATTTTGTGACTACTAATAAGTTCAATTTTTCAGTGTTACTAATAGATTGCAATGTTCCGCTACTTTAATTTAAACATTTTTAATGTAATTACAGTTTCTATTTCATAAATATTTTTAAATTAATTTAAAATTATTATGAGCTTTTTTTAAGACATAATAAAAATAGAAACAATTAATTAATAGCCATAGAGCATCAGAGAGCCATTCCTCATTTCCTGGACAGAGGGTGTGGTACAGAATCAGTGGTAAAAATACCTTTAATCTTTTATGTCAACTCCAGTTTCATAAAAACTATACAGCTCCATATAACTGATTAAGGAGCTGAATCACCGTAATGGACAAAACACTAATATTTTTCATTTTTCGAAGCAACATCAATTTCCTTTTCCCTGCTTAACAGGCTCATGTTTGGTTTCCTTTCTGGTTTTTGTTTTTCAGCCTTTTGTCATTCTTCAGAGATGGTTTCTATACACAGACAACTGTCCAAAAAAGATTCCATATGGAGAATTCTCAAGAAGTTCAAGTGTAAATAGGCTAAAAAAAATGAAATTTGCACTTCATTCCATGGCAAATGCAAATGTTCAAAACACATGCAAGAAAAATCAAATTACATTAGTAGAATTATTCTTTGAAAAGCAGTGATTAGGAAACAGTGTTGGTATAGGTGAATTAATTGAATCATCTGCTTATTTGTTCTGAAACACATTCCTGGTTTTCCTTTCAGCTTTTATCATAAAATATAAAACTAATTGAAATTTAATAATAGTCAAAAATCTTTGTGTTATTAATAAGTATTTTGGAAAGATTATTAGCTGGTTTTTTGGAAGATACTTGCTACCAATTCTCTATCAATATTTTCATATATTATTTATAGTCAAATTTTAGGTGGTGGGTGAATTCAACCTGTTGAGAACACTGCTGGGACATGAAGAACCTCAAAAAAATGCACAGAAGGAACTGCTAAAGTTTGAAGTTGTATAGCAAGTTTTGAAGAGATACGTCAAGAAAATGCTTGCCACTATTCCAAACACAAAGTACTAAATTAAATGCCTAAAAACAGAAGGTGAAAACAGTGCTATACTCTTAGCTACTCCCCATCAGTCATGCCAACCATAACAAATGTTAATCATTGAAGTAGTACAAGTTTGTAGGAATTTTAAAGAAAGATGGAATATATTGGCTAATTGTCTAGAACAGAAGTGACTAACAATTAAATCATTTTTTTCAGGACATTGTCTTTTTGCCCATGAATCAGATTATTTGGTTGAAAAATGAAAAGTCAGGAAAGTGATAAATCTTGTCTTCTTCTTCCATCTCAGAAATAATTAATTCTAAATTAATTCTAAGATCTATTAATTCTAAATCTTTGAAAGACTTGGTCATCTCCTGATTCAGTTTGAACCATTAAGCATCGTCAGTATTTCTTCATATGACAGAGTAATTTATTGATATTTTTATTGCTTTTTTTAAAGAAAGCAATTTTCTAATTCAATAGAAAGGAATCTGGTTTGTGTATAAGCGAATCCTAATTTCTAATCAAATGCAGCTTGCCACAACTTCCAAGATATGAACTAGTTACTAAGTAATGGCAAAATATATTGTTTACATTTTTCTATATTGAAAAAACTTAAAAAGCAAGTTTTTACAAACAATTACAAATAATTGTAACACCGTAGAAGTTGTCCAACTAAAAGATACTTTGGCTTTTGTAAGTCAAGGTGAATCTTCAAGTGTAAAGCTTAAATTTAGCTGAAAGTTGGGATTCAAATGAGTTATTCTGGGAATGCCATTATGCAGAATCTTAACTAAAATGTAAATATGAGAAAATGTTTAAAAAATGCACAATTTAAGTTTTCTTGATCACTAGTTTAAATCATGATTTATGATCAGTGAATTATGTCACTTCGATTAAATTTGATTAACAGGCAGAGGGCAGACAAAGTCTGAAGTGTGTATTGTGATAACTAAGAAATCATCACTAGACCAGATCTGAAAATGAAATGAGCAGACTTTTCTCTGAGAACCCAAATATTGAACTGCTGTTGTGAAAACATTAGCCATGATCCACACATTATCTTTGAATAAAAAAAAAAACAAATGCAAAGAAGTTTTAAAAAAAGTAATCAAATAAATCAAATAATTAAGAAACTGTGCTTTCATTTCCAGTTCCAGTGTTATGATAACAGTATAAACAGACAAAGTCATTATTCTTTTAGTCATGGATTCGCTAAAATGTGCCCTACAATCTTCAGGACTTCAATGTCAGTAGGTTACCAAATGCTCCAGTTGCTGCAGATTAAACTAGTGATTTCAACCATAGCCTTTTTCTAGTCAAACAAATAATGTAAGCAGTAAAGCCCTGGATTACACTTCTTCCCAAAAGTAAGCAATTTGCTGTTCTAATTCTGGCCTGCACTAAGCTTGAATAAAATCATATGCATGTTAGACATATGCAGGATAAACACAATTTCAGAATCAAAAGTTTCTCGCAATTGTATGTTCCGTTCTTTTTCAGAAAGACTCTATTTCAGGAATGTTTATTACTCTGCAGCAAAGCTAGATCAATTTTGAATTAATCATAAAACAGAAATAACTTTTTTGTTTATTACATGCAGAAGGACTTTTTGTTCCTACTCAAACATACTCAGCCTTGAAGCTAAATTTCCTAACCAGAGATGGCTTACTGTGACATGTGTTGGCATGATGTAGCAGAAAAGCATCATAATAGACTTTGACAAGGATTTTCATCAGGTCATGGTAAATCCTTAGCATCTTGGCAGGTCTTCATCTACCATGCCTACCTGTAAAATACATATATCAAAGACATAACCGAAGCCAATGACTCAAAAAGAAACCATACCAAACCAAAGTGAAAAAAAGCAGCAGTTACTACGGGTAGGATGAGTAAATACTGAAACAAACTATCACATAAAATGGTGGACACTCCATTTTTTACTATTGATAAATTGTGCCCGAATACATGGCTGGAAAACACACCTTACATGTAATTGTTCCTTGTGGAGTACCCATGTGAATCTCTCTGCCTGCTTCCATAGATAACACAAGAAAGCATTGCAGTCCCTTCTTTCCTTGCAGTGTAGGGAGTAAAGAAATAGTTAAGAACTGAGAATCACAGAAATGATCCTACTGCTGGTTCTGCCCCTCTTGAGTAAAATGATTTTTATTTACTTCACTGTATTTCATCAGGTGTTATGTGCCTGTCCGTATTCTTGGAAATTTAGTACTGATTGATGATAATTTTGTTGTTAGCGAATATTAGTTTTAAATCTGAGAAATTAACCTTTGGTTAGTAGATATTTAAAAGGAAATCAAGTCTTTCAGAAATAATGTTTACATTGAATTAAAGAGGAGGCCTGTTGTTTTCATGTCTGTGCAAAGCTCATTTAATTTAGTTAAATACTCATTTGACTCCAGAACAGAGAAACCATAGCAAAACCTACTCAGGAAGGAGATAGTACTAGGGTTTGTTCTGTAATCAGGCTTCATTTTCTGAAATCTTCACCTCTTAATAGATGTAAAATTAATTAGATCACTTTATTAACCTCCAAGGAAAGAACTGACAACTCTTTCCATGAAGAAACCATGTCTTTCCAGTTCTAAAAGCCCTTTAGAAGTTACATCTCCTACATTAAAGTAGAAGAAAATATTACACAAATCTCTGGGGAAAATGGCAAGGAAAAAGGCAGTAAATGTGTATATTTCCAGCTTCCCTGGAAAGGAAATACTCTGAGGTTATTTAGAAAGTCTGTTGTTACCCATCTCTGTTCCTTAAATTTTTAATATCTGAAATTAAAACAGTCATCTTCACAAGTATTTTGCAAATCAGTGCATATATATAGATAAATAAGCTGAGCAATATCAATATGATGTTGCTCTTCAGCTAACACTTGAAAGTGTTAGCTGAAGTGTTTGAAAGGAACAAACAAGGAGCAAGGCAAATTAAACCACATTTAAAAAAAAAATCAAAAGATCGATTCTTTTCTAATCCTTTCATCTCAAAATATTGGAAGAGTTCCAAAACTACACTGCAAGGTCCCAAGGTATCCGGCACAAAACACCGTACTTGCACAGAACTTTGTTCTCTGACTGCCCATGAGCAAGTCTGTCACAAAAACAATTCCTTTACAGCACTTACTTTATGACTTCACTGTGAAAAGTTGAGGCCATTTCTCCAGTCAAAGGTGTTCGCTTTCACTTCAAAGTTTTTTTCACTTCATCTTTTGATGTGTTTTTTTCCCCAGGAATAGTTGTCCCTAAAAGTGCCTTTACCTGAAAAATAACCTGTTGCCTGAGAAGAAGTAGATCCTTCAGCCTGACTTGAACCTTGCAGGACTCCAAAGGGACTTTTCTGGTTTCTCATAACTCTTCTGAAGGTTGGCTAGAGAACTCTCAAATCTAAAAGAAAAAGACTTCAAAAATGAAACCACACAATCTAATGCTACAACAACCATTTCACCACCAGCAACGATCCATCAGTCATCTAGTTCTACATCCTTTTTACCACAGAGGAAAAGGCATATAATATCATTGTGAATTAAGTGGTTTAGAGCAACAAGTTACTACCATACAGTGTACTAAACATTTTAGAATGAGTCTACTCACCCCAGGCCAAACCCAAACTTCTTAAAAGCAGAACTGTGTGACCACAAAGTCCAGCAAAGCGTCAGATCAGAGTTCAGAGTTCAGAAGCACAGGAGGCTGTATTTAACTGTAGTGGATAGCTTACTATAAAACATCACTATGGCTTCAATTTGATATATCACTTGTAAGTTACAAAGTATTGACTTCTTTCAACAAAGGAATTCTTGAGGCTTTTAATCTTATGAATCTTAAAATGCTGTATTTCTCCTTGTTGTAGTAGCTCCAGCTTCTCTTCTTATGATGAGTCCCTTTTGCCCATCACAGTGCCACCCATCTCCCCCCACAATCCCTCACTACCCACATCCTCCAAACCCAGTGCTGGGGCTGGTTCCCAGTTGTGCTGTGCTGAGTTGCTGAGCAGCATTCACCTGGTGACAGGTCAGCAACAGGCCAAACAGAGCAGGCATCTTGCAGTTTTTCTCCCAGGGAGCGTTTTACTTACCCAGCTGCAATATGAACCATATTTTAATAGCTTAATAACAAAAGGTCTGTTCATCTGAAAAAATGTTATCAATATTGGACAGTAGAGTGAAACTTTGTTCTTATGAAACAGAGATACACAGACACATGGGCAGAATTATTTCATAGCCCTTGCTGCCTTAGAAAACGCACTGAAAGATTCTGTGTTAATGAAAGCCATGTAAGGAACTATGTATTTGTCACCTTACACTTTCAAAGAGAAGTTTAGAAACAGGGTTTTCCCCTGATTTGCTTTTGCAGATGAGTGCGAAAACAGGCAAAAATCACAAATAAGAACTAAGGTTACTGTTTCATACAATAGCTGACTTTGTAAGGCTGATGCCACATGCCAGATGCTATACTGCCATGACCAAAACTAGTGCTGTCTTAAGTATTGTCAATACCTGTAAATTGAAATTATTTTTGGATGCAAGACATATAATTTCTTTTTCATCTAGGAGATTTTTCCATAAAAGATTGAAACAAGAAAACACTGTTAATCAAAATATTGTTCTAGATTTCCAAACATTTTAATTACTTTGTATAACAGGGAGAAGGACAAAACTAGCTTTTTCTCTTTTTTTTTTTTTCTTTTTGCAGTATGGAGTGATTTTTACTTTTAAAAAAATCTTTGCTAATTTGCTGTACTATGTGATGTGCTTGAGTGGATGTGAAGATAAATTGTAAAGTTTATTTCCCTGAAAACCTTGAGTTCTGCCAAGCTAAATCCTCAGGCCGAGTGGGGTGGCTATTAGGAGCAGGTGACGGCTCACGCAGAGCCAGGCTTGGCTGAATAAAAGCTTAGTTTCTATGAAGATCTCTTTCCCATTAGATCAGAAACAGGTAAACTGGTGGAAAGGACAGAAGACAGAGAAAAAAGTACATTTCTGGCTGCAGAAAAATTAGGGGAATACAGCAGAGACCTCTGTAACTCCCGACAGATGCTACAGGCTACCTGCACACTTCATTTTATACAAGTCTCACAGAAAATCACTGTAAGAAAGCTCACACAGAGCTGCCATCCACTGCCAGTATTTACACTGAAATTTTACCCAGTGTTACTAGGCAGGTGATTCAGAGGTTTTCCAATCAGGAGATGGCTTGTCAATCATATCTGCCTGGGAAAGAGGATCAAAGTTTTCTCAGCTTGGACAAGCTGAACTGGGACATGGGAAAGGGTTGCTCAGAGAGGCCAGAACTAGGCAAGACCCTGAGAAACCTGAACTGATTTCACAGCTGACCCTGCTTTGAGCAGGCAGGTTGGACCAGATGGTCTCCAACAGTTCCTTCCTATCTAAAATCTTCCATGATTACCTGATTTTTTTGATAAATCTTGGGTTTCAGTGTAGTTTCTGATTTATACTGTTGACCACACAATATCAACCAGAAATAAGCTTACCTGTGTTTACCTTGGTTCATAACTTTTCTCTGTGCAATTACTGCCTACTATTTTTTTCCATTATTGTTTTGTTCTCACACCCACGTCTAAGCACTCCTCTTCTCTACTGCCACAGAAGGATCTCCCTTCTCCCAGCAGTTCTGTCCCCAGGACTGATCACTAAATAAAAAAGAAAGAGACGAACCCCCACTTCAAATGTCAGGTTCAAGACCCAGCAACAGTTTTTTCCCCTTGCTTCATCATAGACTAGGGCATTTCCAATACCAGGCAGAACCTTTAGGGTATTTGGTTTATTATTGTGCAAAACATAATTATTCAAAGATTTATAAATTGACTACTTCTTCACAAATTCCTGCAAAATGAGGTGATAGAGCATTTCCAAGAAAAACTCCTCAGAAACATTAACACAGGCAATACTGGTTGTTAATTTTTCTTTTTTTTTCCTACACGTATTTCAGAACATTTCAGAAATGTCTGACACATTCTAATCAAGTATCAACTGCAGCAGACAAACAGTGTAAGACATTTTTCCTCCAACTGTGAAATATTTACAAGGTTATAAGCAACCAAAACCTGAGGCTTACAATGGGAAATGCTCAGTTTTCTCAACAAAATAAGGTGTTATTAACCTTCCAAAATTAATCCCTTGGTCATTTCTTAAGAACTGGTATGACAAACTAACAATCTGAAGCATAAGTTTACGTGAGCATATACTTGCTCTCTAACATCAAGTATCCATCAGCCATGTACTGTCAGTCCAAATGAAACTGAAAATCAAGTCTATCTAGAATAAAATTTTGATATGTCTTCATCTAAATAAAAGTTCTGAATGTGACTGCACGTTTGACAAGCAGTGGCTTGGCTCAGGTGATTTTAGCTGTTGCAACAGCTTTGCCAAATGTACCATACATATATTTTTCTAACAAAAGAAATTCTATTTCCTTCAAAAACAGCAGGGTTCAGAAAAATGTTAGAGAAGTAAATGACTGGTGGAAACTCACCACCAGAGTTGAATAGGCAAGGTTCAAAAATAGGATGAGTACTGTCTATATCCTCCGAGTTTCCCACCCAAAAGATCCGAAGTAATGTAAAAATTAAATTATCCTGCTGACGGCACTAACTAAAAAAAGGAATAAAGAGCATAGATGACCTGATACACTCAGTAAAAGTATTTATACATACTACCTGAGGATATACTTTGATGTCTGGCTGGGTGCAAGCCATGGGTCACATCAAGAAACTCATAAGCAACAAAGGGATAAAAGAAAATGTGCGCGTACAGACTGTTCAAGATGAAATAGGTAGCAATGGCCAAAGATGAAAAAAACCAAAGTTGTTCCAATATTAAAAAATCCCATCTGACTCTCAAAATTTAGTTCTATAAGTTAAGAAAATCATCCTCTGCATTTCAATTGCAAAAAAGGAAATAGTACTTAAAATAGACTCAGATTCTTACTTGACTCTTAGTCTTATCACTGTGTCCAGTCACACTGGCCTTTGTAACATCCTACTGGATACAAGCATGAATATAAAAATCAGCTCTAGGAAATCCAGAGAGAAATGTATTAATGGATTTATGTGAGGCCAAGAATAACCACAGAAGGGGCACAAATTATCATCTCATTGCAGCTTCTCCCAATGTTTATGATCATTATTATTGTAGTGATGCTAAAAAAACAGGGAGCTATATTTAAAATCCCAAGAAGGTATCTGGAGTTCAAAATGCTAATCATATTTCCCTTTAGAAAGGGAAGGAAACCTCATAATAGCATACATGTGAATTTTATTGATTTATTTGTGTTCATTAAAAGTAGATGTTTTCTGTGGCCAAAAAACCCAGGAGCTTACAGGAAAAGTAGACTTGGATGGTTAAAGCATAGCAGTTAGTTTGCCTCACCATGTGTTCTTCTTCAAGCTTCTAGCAGTCAGATGGCTGCTGGGAAATAAACATGGTCATCTGTGAGGGCATAGGAAGTTATCAAATAATAAAGGCTTTGTCTGACAAAAACTGATTTGTTCTAGTGGCAAAAGAGCAAAAGTCCTTCCACAGATTAGAATGGCATTTTATTTCCACTGCTTGGAATGTAGGCTTCCTATTAAAAGCATTTTAGTTACTAATGCAAATAAAACTTAGGACTGATTTTTTTTCTATTTCCTTGAACACAGTAGTTCAGTAATAAACTTACAGACAACCAGCTGAAGGCAGATATGACATTCTGAAAACAAAATTTGCTGCTTTGTAAATCTCTTCCTTCTGGTTACTTGCTGTCATGAATGATAAAGATGAGTGTGTCCTGGGCAAATAAAAAAAATTATTTGTGTAACATCATGATCTTAGGCAGACTCAGACTTTGTATTTTAAATTTGTGGTAGACCTGAAAAGTCTTATTAACAAAAAACATAGCCCATGAAAGGAAAAAATTATGATAAGACGAGTTGACCTTAATAAATAATGGATGAAGTGATGTCCATTCTCTCCTGCATTTTTAAAGCTTTTTGAACCAAGCAGGTCCAAAGACTCTACTGTGTCATTAACCAGAATTACCCAATTTTAACTTTAGCAATACCTAGCAATGTGACTCTGTTTAGTCTCTTATCAATTAGATCAGCCATAAATTAGGCTATACTGGCTGCTAAGTGAAAGTACCTGCTGAAATTGATTATACCATATGTGTACAACCATTAACAAAGCTGACTGCAGTCCCCCACACTTAAAAGACACAAATGGCAGAGACAATGCACAGGATCTCCCACTTGTCCTTCTTCAGGGACCGGGCACTGTAATCCTATTTCAGCTGTTCTATTTCCAACATGGTGCATCAAGGAAACAAGGCTTATTCAGACAGACTGTCTGTTACTACAGTTTTCTGTCTCCCCAGAGACTTTAAGTTTCAGTAAAACTTACAGAGGCATTAAAGTCTCAGATATAATATTAGACCTACAAGCTTCATAAAAATAATCATTGGGTAAAGGAGAAATAACAAACAAATGCTCTGACTGTGGGAAGAAGAACTGAGCAAGTGAACATGAGCTTTTAAGCTTTACTGGAGATTCCATATGGACAGGACACCCAGTAGGTGCTTTATTCATATGAAAATCTTCTATTGGAGTTTTTAATCAAGTGCAAAAACAAAGATGTTAAAAAAGTTTTCTTGTTTCAGGATTGGAAATAAATAATTGCTTCTTCAGGATATCGAAATGAGAATAGAAATAAACAGGGAGGCAGACAGGTTAAGTCTCTCTCTCATATACTCTTCCATGCTCACAAACATTTCTGTGTTACTTAATGTTGCTGCGAGTGGTGACTAAAGCAATGGCTTGTGAAAGCTTCTCATTGCAGCATTATGGGTTTTTTTCTACTAGATCAAAAGATGCTTCTCTGCTTCACTTTTTGGATAATCATTTTTCAAAATACTCTTTTCCTCCACTTTAAAGTTGGTCTCAAGATCTAGACTTGTCAACTTTTTTCAGATACATTTAAAGTTCAAAGTATAAGCTGTTTTGAAATATTTTTATATTATTCTGAATGTATTATTTTTTCTTAGTTCTCCATTTTACAAAATCCAAGCACTCAGATGCTATCAGCCATCCAGGGTACAATAGGTGTATTGGAAATGAGTCTCTATTAGAAAAGACCATAACCTCAACTGAGTACATTGATAAGAATATATAGTATGTTTTTGAATTTAATCAATAAAAATGTATTGATTTATTTACAGGCATTAACCACTATATTGAAACTGGGATATGGTCAGAGCCACAAGTAGGTCTCCTAACTTTTGCCATATCATATGCCTCAAAACATAGTCAAATAAAAAACCCCATAGTTATTTCAGTGATTGTTGGCCTCCTTATCAATATCAGGGTTTAAAGGGAACTTTCAGGCACCCCTTACTGTGAACTTAGCCCAGAACAGATGCTAATACTGACTTCTACCCCTGCACAAGACACAAGCAAGATGGAGGGAGTGAGGCAGGGAATTCCCATTTCTGCAAACACAAATATACTTCAGAGCAAACTGCACTGAACAACATTGCAATTGTTTCAGTCCTGAAACATAAGGACCAGAAAGAAGAAATGTTCTCTGCAAAATACAAAGTATGTCAGAGGCATGCTCAGTGAGAAGGGCCACTTCAGCATTCCCAAAGGCACTGCAAACAAGAGGGCAGTTCATGGTCATTATGGATATACACTGCTGCAGTGGACTGTGCTGGTTTATGGTTGTAACAAAAAGAATGAGCAGCCTACTGAACATGATTCTGCATATAAACAGAATTCTTCCCTTACAGTCACCCTTGCTGATTTCAAGATGCATGGTTATAAATAATGGGCAATCTGTCCTTTTATCTCCTGATCATATATTGCCAGAAAGAATAAGCAGGGAAGCTACATTCATGTCAGAATCATAGTGCCAGTTCTAAACAGATTTTTTCCTTATATATTTTTTTTCCAAAAGTGATTAATGATAATGGATGGTTGTGCTTATCCCTGTTATTAGTCGAAGCCAAGTCAGAGCAGCTTTAGCTTGGATTACTATGGATCATAAAAGCTTTTGTAAAGTAAGTCTTGTTGACCAATTTTATTTATTTCCTACTTAGTTTTCCTATGTTAATTGTCAGCTACTTGGTAAAAGCTAGTGGTAAAATATCTGCTTTAAAAAAGGACACAGGCTGGGAAAAACGCATCATAATAATTGTTAGGAGCTTCAGTTTCTTCTTTTATAAAAGGTAAAAATAAAACATTTGTTCACATCTCCCAAAAAGTATTTCTGGTGCCTTGCAGCTGTAACGCATTGTCATGAGGAGTTACAGTTAACCCTCTTTTGCAGGAATTTGTATGAAGAAACTTTTCTCTCCTTTTCAGCCATGTAATTACACCCACACACACACCCTGAGGAAACACAGCTGTAGGGGTGAGCTGTACTAGATCTGGTGTCTTCATATCAGCCTGGAGGATCCTGCAGCACTGTCATCTGGGATTCCACACACTGGTCACGGAATGGAGGCCCCCAGCTGGCACCTTGAGTCATATGGAGAGAAAGAGATGCAGAGGAAGATTGTAGGTGGGGACTGATTTTCTATATGGGCTTTTTTATTATTTTTATTTTTACTTATTTTTTTCTATGCAACACACCACCTCCTGTGCTCTCTTCCACTCCGTAAGTCCGCGAATTAGGCACACACACCTGACAGACCATGTTTAAGACTGACCTGTCTTATCCAGCATATCTTGGAGTGAGAAAGAAAATGTGCAGAAGTACCATGAAAAGTATGAGGGGGATCAGGAGGTAGAAGCCAATTAAATGAGTCACACACTCAATATTAGACACTTCACAGAACCTCCTCAATCTCCTACCAGTGCTGCATATTCATTGAATGGATTTGAACCATAACTCCTGAGAAGTACAGCCATTCTAGTGCTGTATTCATGAGCAACTACAGCTGAGAGGGTGAGATTTTCCATCTTCCTTTACCTCATGGCTATATTGCAAATCTAGAGATTATTCACAAATACTTCATATATTGCCATGCCAAGCTCTAATAGAAAAAACACTTGCATGTTCTCTCTTTAGATGTTATTTTAGAGTTACTGTAGGAACTCACTACATCACATTATACTGCAAAATGAATCTGGTGTTCTAAAAAATTTTTCTGCTTTATTTTGGGTATATGAGAGACACATGATGTTCCAATAAATAAGTAACACCTGAGTGCATTCAAAATCACCTTTAAAGTCCATCAGCAAGGTTCATTTGCAAGAACTCCATTTTAAAAGTTGTTACCTACCTGTTATCATAGAAAAGCTATCATACTGCTTTAAAAGACAATGCTCAAGGCCACGATAAATTATTTTTCCCAAATGTTCTTACTATTAAAGGCTAAATTAACTGAACCAATAACTTTCCATTAATTTGTAACATTTTCTCAAGTGCTGCCTTTGGAATAGAAAATGAAAATAAATTACCCTCCAGTGCTTAACAATGCCTTCCTTGCGTATAAATGTGCTCCAAAGACTTGAACAATGCTTTACAATGTCTTTGGGTGGTTTTGAGGTCTGCAAATTCAGACTTAAGGACCATAAAAATCCACAAGGCACACAAGCCAATGATACCTCTATTTTTTCTGAACTTTTGAATTTCAATGGCAAATCTAGCTCAAAATAAGAACTGAGAATGTTCATTCATTTTTCATACAATGTATGAAACACACCTTTGGATGGAGAATACCTTGGTTCAAGCTCTTTCCATGTTTTAGAAATAATCCAAACTGCATGTTCAGTAAATTATATGCAAACTCGATGGTGCCAGAACACAACAAGTAAATCAATTTGATAAACAGAGACACTTAAGATGTATGTGCTGGTCTTATGAAATCCCTGAGATAACAAAGACATCAGAGAGGACTGCAAGTGACAGCAAATCTGCCAAATTCAGGAACCAATATTTTAGATACTAAAGAGGCATTTAAATGTAGAAAAGGCAGGAAGTCAGGGCTATATCAATAAATATAAGGAGTATAAAGCTTTTATTCTGAAGTATATGCACTCCTAACAAGGTCAACTTAACATTAGCCATTCTTACTCCCTTTTCAATAGTACTTACCAGCTGGTGGCAATTCTGAGCAAATGAGAAAAGGTGGCACTGGTGGACAGGTGACACCCCATGTCTCTTCGAGGTTTAAGCGGACGCAAGTGAAGGGAAGTACAGGGGGTGCGATCCAGCTGTACAGCGGTGTTCCTGACTTCAAGAGCCCATGCAGCAGCCCCACGACCTGGAAGCCCTTGGCAGCTAAACAGACAAGGAGGGAGCAGTGCCAGGAGCGACCCAGGAACATTTAAATGGTTGCAGGGAGCATGAGCGACCCAGAGAGCAGTGAACAGGAACGGGCAAACAGGGTTGTGGCACATCAGTGAGGGTGTGACACGGCAGTTTGCAGGGCAGTTCACGCAGGCAGGAAGAGCTCCTCTCTGACCATCCAGGAGCGGCTAATAGAGGCAGAAAACAGACTTAGTATCTCATAAGGAAGAGCAAAGACATCCTTGCAGCCCAGGTCTTATTAGCATACTAGTTTAAGCTTCTTCATTTATGCTGTTGACACGCTGTAGAGCTCAATCACCTGTAGCTGCAGGAGTCACTGAACCAGCCATGTCAGAGGCCTCCAGACAGACAGACCTGCTGATGGCAGACACAGCTCTCCAGGTCACAGGTTGCCAGGATGCTCTTTGTGAGGCTGGGGTAGACAAACAGGTATTTTGCAGAAGGTGTGCTGTGGTTGAAGAACCGTGTCGCCAGGTGAAGGAGCTACAGGAAGAAGTGAACAGGCTTTGTAGTGTTCGAGCAAATGAGCAAAAGGCAGATCAATCATTTTCAGAGACACTACAGTCTTAAGACTCTCAGGAGTCTTGAATCTCTATTGCAGTGGAGAAGCAGGTGGACTCAAAACCCTGCAGGGCTATTAGTCAAAGGACTGTTAGTCAAGGGTCTGTTAAAGATGAAGGCTGGAAGCAGGAGGAGTCATTGCATGTACCAGGAGGAAGGTTCCTTCTCAGAATTTGACAAGTAGGACTGGCACCTTCTACAACAGGCTCTGGAAGGCCAGAAAACTGATGAGGTGGATGAAGGCCTTTCTGGGGTAGTGGGGCCTCCAAAAACAACAAAAGCTGTACCCTGCACCAAGACATCCTCTGTAAATAGGAAAAGAGGATAGTTGTAACAGGAGACGCCTTACTAAGGGGAGTGGAGGGCCTGATCTGCAGACTGGACCCAACTCACAGGGAAGCCTGCTGTCTCCCAGGGGCTCCGATAAGGGACATTACTGGATAACCCTCCTGTCTAGTAAGGCCCTCTGATTTACTATCTGCTATTGGTTGCTCAAACTGGCAGTGACCAAATAACAAAGAGAAGTCTGAAGGCTATCAATAGACTTCAGAGCCCTGGGATGGTTGGTAGAGGGATCAGGAGCACAGGTAGTGATTTTCTTGATTCTTCCAGTAACAAGGAATAATATTGATAGGAATAGGCAGATCCATCAGGTCAATGAGTGGCTCTGAGGTTGGTGTACTCAGAAAAATTTGGGGGTTTTTGCCCATGGGATGATCTAGTTGACACCTGGTCTACTGACACCTTTCAGGATACACCTGTCTCACGAGGGAAAAAGAGTTCTAGCACAGGAGCTGGCGGGGTTTCTTGACAGAGCTCTAAACTAGCTTGGAAGAGGGAAAGGGACAAAACCAGGCTCACCAGTGATGAGTGATGGGATGGTATGCCAAAACTTGAGAAAACCCTCAATCTGCCTCACAAAGTGTTGGCTACAATGTACCACACCTGAAATGTTTCTACACTCATACACAGTGTGAGGAACAAAAGAGGAGCTTGAAGCTTTGGCCCAGTCCCAGAAATTTGACATCGTTGTCATAAGTTAAACCTGGTGGGATGAATCCTGTGACTGGAGTGCTCTGCTGGACAATTACAGTCCCTTCAGGAGGGATAGGCAAGGCAGAAGAGGCAGAGGGATGGCACTGTATGTAATAGAAGGGTTAGAATGTATGGAGCTCACAGCTGGCAATGGCACTGTTGAGAGCCTCTGCGTAAGAATCAAGGAGCAAACAAATAATGCAAGATGTCATTGTGGGAGTCTGCTACAGACCTCCTAGCCAGGATGATCATGCCAACAAATTATTCTTTGAAAAACTAAGAGACACTTGCAAGTGAACTGCCCCTGTCCTTATGGGGATTTCAACTTGCCAGAAATTAACTGGGAGCATCACATAGCTGGTACCACTTGGGCTAGAATATTCCTAAAAAACTGAATGACAACTTTATGGAACAGGTCTCAAGGGAGCAGACTCGGAAAGATGGTCTCCTTGATCTGCTGCTTGTCAACAGAGTGGATCTTGTGAGCGAAACGCAGAGGCACTGCAGCCCTCCTCTCCCGGCTAACTGAAGTACCCTAAAGCCCGGACCAGACTTACACTGAAACAGAATTAATTCAGGATGGAGAGACAGGAATCACAAAAAGGAAGATGACTCTGACCCTTTTTACTGTGTGCTATCTAATGGCTATAATGTATATATCCAGGCTTAAAACTGGAGACTGGAAATCCTGCCTCCTGCATGAGCACTATGGCAGGAAAACCATGCTCTTGCCTGAAACAGAGCCTAAGAGGCTCTGGAAGTGGAGGATATTCCTTTCTTCCAGTCATCATGCCTAGCCTTCGCGAACAAAGATTTCTTCCAGTACCCCCTTCCTAATTAGTCCCTAGCCCAGTAGTTACACTGCGGTCATGAAGGTATTATAAATTCCCCCTAAACAAATAGCTTTTGAAACTAAAGTCCTTTAATAATCAATTTAATTATATAACTGCAATAAAATTGCCTTTTTACTAAACAGATTTAATTTTGAAGATACCAGAGGCATTTCTGTATTTGTGGGGGCTTTCAAGATCATAAGGGAAATATTGTTATTAAAAGACCTTATCAAGCCCTATCAGTCTGTATGGCACTGCATAGGATGTGAAAACAAGAACTGAAAAGCTTTCACTCTAATAGATAGTTTGGTAGAGGGGCAGGGAAACACAGGCAGAATCCTGATGGTTTTGGAAGAAGCAGACAGCTATCAGCAATTCTCTGCAATAAAAATCTCTACTGGTGATGCTAGAAACCTTACATTTGTACAGAGTATCAAAAGAAAGGTTTCACATCCTAATTAATGTACTGTCAGCTTCACACAGCTTGTGTCCGTGTATAATCCACAAAGATTTTGGATAGTTACTGTTTTCACATCAGTATTATCTGGTAGAAGAAAATTAATTACCAATTGTTCTCATCCAAACTAGATTTTAAAAAGCAATCTTCCAAGTGACAAAAGCACCTTTATGTTGTGAAATAGCACAATGAATTAGATTGAATCATGCCATGCACTTGTCAACTCTCAAAACCTTTTTGGGGGATCAAAATTTACTGAGCTTTCAGTAATTTTCAGCAACCAGATGTTTTCAGACCTACAAGAGTCCTGTGGTTCTGAACTCCTTTCAGACCATCCAATACATCTCTTGATCATGATGTCTCTGCAAAGTCTGCTTATTGGCAGATGACCTCTCTCTGTAATCTGAGCAGCTCATGTAAGGATCATCACCACTCCCATCAATTTCTTGAGAATCTGGGCCCTGAGATCTCCAACATAAAAAGCAAATCCCAGTCAGCATTAACAAGAAAAACAGAATTGGAAAACAAAATTCTTATTACCGTAAGTATTAGACTTCCCTTTGATGTGAATCCTGCCTTCCCCAAGGGAATTATCACTTTGTCCTGCTCTCATGACTGTAATCTAGATATCTTAGCTACAAGCAGTACTGTTACTGTGCACCTACAAGTGCTTCACACTTACTGAGGTCTGAACAAACTTCAATTAAAATTGTTAGTATTTTAAAACTAATTTAGTTCAATGAAAGTGTGTACAAAAATCACAAATGGACAGCTACTCCATATCCTACCACAGAAGGAATTTTTATTCCATAAGTAGGTCTTGACAAAGAATGCAGGGTCAACCTATTCAGTCTTGACAGCAGGGAAGGAAACTAAAAAAGTGACTACCATCTTTGTCAGACTGTATTGGCAATGTGACCAACTTAAATTTCACCTAATAATTTGTAACATGGAGGTCACCAGAAAAGTTTAATGGTTTAGTCTACATGAAGACAACAAGCTTCTTTAAACAAATGAATATTCCTATGGAGAGTCTGAAAACAAATCAATGTTGAATCAATAACCTGAAGATTAAAATTACTTCAGTGTTGTGTAGTCCTACTGCACAGAAATGCAGAAATTCAGCACAAAATAAAAAATGATGACAAAAAAGCTGCATTTTTATAAGGTAGGGCTTAAAAGGCTTTGAAATCAATAGCAGTATCACCTATATCTCACCAGATCTGTATTGAATCATATGTAACATATACCTTGTACCATACTAAAGAATTTTAGTTTGCCTGTAGCTTAAATTTGAGCTTTATATGTAGCCATGAATCCTCATATTAAAAATCACTTTGGTTTTGGAAGAAAAGTGTGATTCGCAGCAGCTTTAACATGCAAGCCCGTTTGCCGAGAACTGTTCTATAAACTATATCTGGATGACAATAAATCCACAATCTCTGTTATTTGCTCAACTAGCCAGGGTGTCAGTCTCTAAATGTAGGGTACTTTAAATTGTGGTGGAAATGTAGTGAGAAACTTCACTGCGGGAGGTTAAAATCAGTGTGAAAAAGAGGGAAATGTGTTCATGGGCTTTCAGATGCAGTTTTGCCTCTTCCTGATCTGGTCACACTTCCTCATTTGCAGCAGCTCTCCCACAGATTCCATGGTCAAGAGAATCTCGGTATATATAGCAATTAATTTTAGATAACCACTTGTATCATTTGATGGACTCCTTTGCTTTCATCAAAGCCCAGTTTACCACGGAGCCTCCGTGGCTTTTGATCATTTAATGAACCAGAGGACGGTTTTCCAGAGCTAACACGATGCCTTTTAAATTTATCCGCCCCTTACGAACACCCTGAGGTTCCATCTCCCCTTACGGAGAGTTTTGATGTATTTTAACGGGGACCGCGTCTTCAGCAGCGTCCACTCCTCCGAAAACGGGGCTTCCCCGGTGGCTGCAGAGCCGGCCTGCCTGCCCCCCGCCAGGGCGCCGAGGAGCTGCAGGCCAGGCTCGGGGCTCGGGGCTGGTGTGCACCGGAGGGGCTGAGCCCACCCGGGCGGCGAAGCCCTCCCGCTGTCGGCGGGGGCAGAGCGGCTGGCGGCCAGACCCGGAGGGGAGCGGACCGAGGCGGAGCGGGGCAGCCCCCTGGGAGGTGAGGGGCGGAGCGGGGGCAGCGGGTGCGCTCCTCCCCCGGGGCACCGATGACTCCGACCCACTGCCGCGGAAACCCCCCGGGAGTGCGTCGGACTGAAGCGGCATAGGGTCCGGCGCTGCGCAGCGGGAGAGACCGGGAAGGCGGAGGCAGGAGGCGATAAAAACCCCGTCGCCACTGTGACTGGGAGTCTGCTGCCTTCCCTCCTCACCCGCCGCCGGTGCCGAGCTTCGGGCCTCAGCTCCGTTCCCGAGGGCAGCGGGCCAGCACTGCCTGCGCCCGCGGGGGAGCGCAGCGGAGCCGCTGCCGCGCTCTCGGGGCCCCCAGTTTCCCCCGGAGCCGAGCGGAGCGCGGTATGCGGGGCCGGGGCTGGAGGCGGCGGCGGGGCCGGCGTCGCGCTCCCCGGACATGAAGTGGTCACCGGGAGCTCCAGGTAACGCTGCCCGGCGGGGTGGCGGAGCAGACATCGCCCGGTAGCCGGGATATGGCGGGGGACAGGGTCCAGCGGGGCAGGAGCCGGGGCTGAGATGGGCCGCCAGAGACGGGGGCGAGCGCATGCCGGCAGCGGGCGGGGGAGACCGAGTCCGTACCTCCGCCGTGGAGCGGAGCGGCAGTGGCCGAGCCTGCCCAGGGAAGTCAGTTAGAGACCCTTCGGAATGCCTGCGAGTGCCCTCGGTCCGATGCCGGCTTAGCGTGCCCGGCCACTGGACTCACCGAAACTTTGCTCTCCGTCGACTCTCGATAGGAATCAGGGGGCTGGAGCGGGCAGACCTTGTCGGGAGACTGGCAGGAGCCCCCCACCTCATAGGCAAGGGTATTTCTCTGAACTTTAGCCCGTCAGATAAATTTTGGAGGCGGTGGGGATCCTACACTGGGCAACTAAACTTTCGTAGGAAATGGAAATTCATTGCTTGGAGACTGGTTACCGATACTGTAAGAGGCACTGCCGCTTATCATTGCGTTTTTTCTTAATTATTTGCTGATCTCCTTAGCAACTGAAGTAATTTGCAAGGTTTAAGCTTGGTTGCAGCTTGATTTACAAAATAACATGACAAAAAGGGTGAATTTATTGTTTCACTGATGAATATTTATTTCCCTTGTTCTCCCTCAGAGGGATAAGTGTTGACTTCATGTAGCTGGTACTGCCGTAAAGAGACTGTTGATTATTCCGACTGAGGCTCTGTACGTCACCCGGTTGCTCATCTCTGTCTCAGTTTTCTTTAAGCCAAGTGAATTATCGTGGGCTTAAAAAAAAAAAAAAAAAAGAAAGAGAAAATCTCTCTTCAAAGAAATGATAGTTTTATCTGGCTAAGGTTACTCGGACAAATTAATCTCTAGTTCAGCATGATTGAGGTCTGGCCAGATGCTGGCCAGAGATACCACTCCATTTGCCAGGCTGACCTCGGGATCAGCTTGCTGCAAATATGATAAACCATTTTTTTCATCACTGTTAGTTCCTGCACCAAACACAATTTAGTGTATCAGGGATTTAGTCCAGTGTATCAAGACATCTCCCAGATGTAGTTTACCAACAGTCTTTGCTGTCCAATCCGTCATGTCACTAAATCTCATGGATTATGATGGTTGAGTAATCCAGATCTGCTCAGTCAGAAATGCTGAGCACAGCTGTCAGGAGGATTTGATGCAGAGAATTCCTTTTACACTCAGGAGTGATAAAAGCAGAGTAGAACCTGGAGACTGAAGTGAGATGGCCGTTGTAGGAATATTTCCTCTGACAGTATCTTCCCCACGAACACACACAAGGAATGGAATCTTATGCAGACCTTCCTTATAAGTGTAACTTTTTGAAAGATTAATTGCATAGGATGCCACTAGTGTGTTTGTAATTAATGGCTGTGTCATGTACTTAAGCAGGATTTTCAAAATTAGGATTAAAAGCATGAATAATTATACTTGTATAGTATTTTTGTTATAAATTAATAAACCCCCATTCTAAAAAGCACTTTTTCTTCTGAGTTCATGAGGAAAGCTTTGTCAAATGTCATACCAGAAAAAAATAATAGAGCTATGAGAAAATGTTAACATCTGAACCACTACTGTTTCATTTCATGTATTATATTTAACTAATACAGCCCTGATTCATCTGATATGTAGACTGGTATAGTGGGAGAACACCTATGTAGACACTGGAAGTCAGTGAGAAGGTGCAAAGATGTATGAGTGATTTGTGTGCTGATGAGACTGGGGCGAGACTCAAGAGAAGACAGTCATAGGAGATGTGGTGCAAGGAAGGAGGTAGGGGATATAGAAATGGTGTGAACCTTCTGGAGGGTGAACTGAGATCTGTAATATTTTCTGGTGTTTGCGCTCTCTAGAGGCTGCTGTTCCTGCAGTGGTACAGTGAGGTTGTGTGCAAATGTTTTCATTTTCACTCTGCAGGATGTACCAGCCAGATGTGGGACTATTTGCATCACCAGGAAAATGCTTTACAGTAGGAATAACATCTATCAAACCAAATTTTTTTATGATGAAAAGACTAGCGGTAGTATTTTCAAAAGGACTTCAGTCCAATTCACTGCTTAAATTAAGAGATGGGCCACATAAGGAGTTTTTTAGCAAAGTCTCAAATGAACTGGGAGAGATAGTTTGGTGTACAGGTCCCCTGGAAGAAACAGCAATAAGCCTGAAGGTACTTGCAGGAGATAAGAAAGTTGGTGTAGAGATTATTAATGTGGCATTAATAATCTCTCTCTGGGAGAGAGATCCCAGAGAAAAGGGAAATGAGTGTCTAGGACATTAGTTGATCTTCTAGTGATAACTAATGGTGAGGCTGTATGTTGCCTGGCGTTCCCCTTTTCCATAAGCAGCTCTAGATGCTCATTACTTTAAAAAGAACCAAACAAAACAAAACCAAAACCAACCCAGAAATAAGAAAAAAAAAAAGGAAAAAAACCCCACAAAAACCAATAGCACACATACACACATACACATTACCTGTTCCTGACTACAGAAGATCTTCCCTATGATAGCAGGAAATGTCCTGCATTTCTTCTTGAACAGTTAAGAGGCATGTGTACCATTATTGCACAGATGATTTATCTCAGAGAGTACTGTGTTTTTGGCACACTTTAACACCACAAAGAAATTATTTCTTTGAAAAGAATTCAAGAACAAAAATCCCAACCATGCCCTTTACTTTACTGTAAATCAAAAAACTATTTACCTAGCTCATTCAGAAAGAATGGTGAAGTAGTTTGCCAGAGTCTGTTGACAAATGTTAGCTGATAGTGTTCAATAGCAGTATCTCTCTTGAGAAAATATGCAATATTGAAATTTGTAAAATAGGACTTTTCTAAGACCTGAAGTAATGTGACTGGGGTGAAACAAAATGCCACTTTTCAATATAGGGCTAATTGTAGGCTTTATTCTTCCTTTCCACTTAACACATGCACGTTACTACCTAGAAATATTTATGCAGTTATTTTGAGTAAGTTCAAATGACCACATAGGTTATAAATATTTATGTTGATCGTGCTTGGCTTTGCAGACCATCCTAGGTAACCTGTGTCGAAGGTTTGGGGAACACAGGTTGAAGAGCAAGTTGCAACTCAAAAGTCCTACTCTCCAAAAGGGGAGAGAACCTGTTGGGAATGTAGGCACTGCACTGTGAGTTGGGCATGGCAAGGAATGCTTCTGCTCTTCAGTGTAATCTCTAAATCATCTTGTGTGTCCTGTGATATGTTTAGGGTGTCTGTAATTTGGATTTGCCCTGCCAGGCAAGGCAAGTTATCTGAAACAGTTTTCATTTTTCAACTTCAACAAGCTTTGAAAGTGGACAACCCAGTTTTCAGCCCTTGCAAGCTTTTTTTGCTCCCTAGAACTCAAAGGTATTATGTTGATTTATAGTACCCACTGATCTGCCCATGGGATTTGGTCGCAGACTAGCTCAGGGATAGTTGTAGGCATGGTCAGAAACAAACATGCAAGGTTATCTAGTGTATTAACCCTTCCAAACCTGAGCATTGACCTAGTATATCCCATTGGGAGTGTCTCCAGGATCGCAGTTATATTCAACATGGGAACTGATTTTTGAAAGTGCTGTTCGTCTTGGAACAAGTGCAGTTACATTAAAAGTTACGCTGCATAGCTTGCAGAATCAGGCACTCAAATGTTAGTGGGAAGGCAACCTATGCAACAGCAGTACATCTCCCATTTTGTGGATACTTTATAATTCAGTCTTCACGCACATGGTTTTATGGTATGTCATTTTCAGATGCCTTGCTTCATACAGTAGACTAACTAAAAGATTGTTTAAAAAAAATATTCGTCTGGGTTCCTAACTTCCCATTGAAGGCCCCATGCAGTTAGAAGCTTCAGTAGGCTGTAAAAGCCTAGAAGAGTTTATGAATCTTGATATTAAGCTTTCATTTAAACCAATCAGTTTATTTTTACAATATTTCTATAGCTAAGATCATGTTGCTATATCCCTTGTATAGAGAGGGAAGCATGGAGAAGCCTTTGCAGTCAGAAGCGGCAGCTAGAGTCATGCATTCTGACTCGCATCTCAGCATTTCTTCAGATGAGTCCTTTCCAAACTTAACACACAGAGGTTCCTTATTTTCTAAGTTCCAAACTGGTGCTTTTAATGTGTTCATTACTTTCTAACAGTCACCAGTTTACATAATTTGCCTGAGCTCACAGGAATTTTGTGGCAGAGGTTAGGACATGCTCCAGTTCTCAGATATAGGCATTTACTGAGCTCCTAATGTAATCACCCTTTCTTTTCCTGTTCTTCCTCAAAACCTGTGCACAGTGTGAGGAAAGGTTTTGGAGGAAAATTTAGCAATCATGTAACCTGTAGCCATTTGGAGTTGGCTTCCCTCCAGATCCCCCCAGACTACAGCAAAAACCTCCCCCTCCCCTTTGGGCAAAGGAAAAAAACTATAGAAACTGAAAGATCCGAAACTAACCGAGCTATATCAATATATATATATTTACATATATCACAGTTATATACAGTTACAATACTATGTACATATAAAAAGAGAACCCCAAACAACCCCCCAAAAAGGGGAAGGGAGGGGGAAAAGGGACAAAACCACAAAAGAAACCAGAAGCAGGTATGCACGATAACAATCAATAAAGAACTAGCGAAAGAAAATCTTACTACTCTCCTTGAAATAGCAGAATCGCGCCAAACGACCGCCAGCACCCTCCAGCTCCCACGGCCTACAAGGGTTCACTAGGCCTGACTCCCCCACATGAGCAGGACCAACAGCAGAGAACCTGTGCCTTTAGATCCACCGGAAGGGAAGAGGGAAAAGGCTTCTCTCTCCTTCTTATTTATACCCTGGCTTGCATAAAAATCATATGGAATGCTGGGAACATGGCCACTTCCTTGGTTACAAACTGATCACCGAGGAAGGCCTAGACTAAAACTATCACATAACCAAAGACTGTATATAAAAATCAAAAATGGCAAGGAAATCTTAATTCCGACACCTTAATTTTTGAGCACTTGACTTGGCAGTCCTGCCATTCTCTTGGTGTTTTTTTGGGAATACAAACATCTAAAGCCAATGTATATATAAATTGTTGTGAAAGGTGAATTCTCCCATCCTACTGCCTTCATATTTCTTCTTTTGATGGGTCATTAGAAGGTTCAGCTCTTTAGTTTCATAGCACATCTTCTACCACTTGACTTAAGAGTAACCTGCCAGCTACTGAGCAGCCTGCCAGATTGGCAGAGGGTTAGAGGCAAGGGAAATAAAGAACTGAGGGGGAGTGGAAATGTTTGCATTTTGCATGTATTAATAAATTGCATAGGTAATTTTAGGTTCATAAGTAGCAGATATAAATTCTCTGGAGAAGTGTGGTCTAAGGTTCACCTCCTGAATCTCTTGCCTGTCTTCTGCTTAGTCCTCTTTACACCCTCCTCATCTGCTTTTCCAGTCTCATATGCCTTGACTGACTTCTGCATCCTCAAACTACCTCCTCCTCAGTTGCTTCGTTAGTAACAGTGATGATGCTCCATTAGCATCCACCTCCCCTAGTTTTGCACTACCTTCCCTATGTATCTCTTACCCTTCTTTTCTCTCTCACTTTCTTTGACTGTCTCTCTGCCCTGCTTCCCTCCACCATTTAGGTCTTGATTTTAATGTTTTTGTCCTCAAGACTCGTGTTTTCTTCATCCATCTTGCATCATCAGAGAATACAGTTTCACTTTCCATCTGAGGATGCTTTTTTCTCCTCCTCCCACTGTTCACAGGAAGCCTCCCAGCTCCTGGCCACAGCCACTATCAGCAGCTCAGAGCAGGCATTACAGGGTTCGTCCTGCTCAGATACTGCTCCAACAGGTGGGTGAGATTGGAGAAATGAATATGAGGGTACGTGGGAACTGAATACCATGTTTGAGCTCTGAAGGGGTGACAATAATCAATGCAGATGAACTTACCTGTGAATTTACTGGCAAACTCGTAACAGGTATCCAGGGAGAACAAGAGAGAACATTACTCGGCTGGTATGTGTACATTTTCTTAGAAGATGGCAAAAAGCATGTCCCTTAGCACAGAATCACTACTGTGCCAAATGTTATGTCCCTGCTTCAAACCACAGTGACTCTAAAATAGTCTCAGAAAAGAGTATGGTTGGGTTTTTTCTTACTATTTGCATATGAGCAAAATATTTTTTTCCTTTACTAAGTTTTGAGAAACAGCTGACTCATTCTTACTTAAAGTTCCCAAAACTTGTGCCTGAAGTATGCACCAGGCATAGAAGATTTCTGCCTCAACACTTATTGGCAAAGGTAGAAGTAGCCAAATAGCAAAATGGAGAATACAAAATATTCTAATTGAACATCTTTAAAAATAGGCTGATACCTTAACTGTAAGTTACTGAATTAAAAAAAAAAATTCGTATGACATTTAAAGCTAAGAAGTCTGAGAAAATTCTTTTCTTGAAAATGTGTGACATTTTCTGATCATAAAGAAACACATTATAACTGCTTCCCACTAGACTAGAAAATAACATTTTTAGATGAGGCTTTTTCTTTCCTGTACTGGGAATTTTCTGTCTGTGCTGGTTTGGAAACAGGTAGGGGATACCATTACCAAGTCATGTTCCACAGAGGAACATTTTTGATTTTTTTTTTTAATGAACTATCAGAAATTGCATTACTTGGTCCAAGACTGAAGAATAGTTGCATTCTTTTTGAAGACCAAAAATATTGCATCTATAGTGTATATTTTTACACATGAATGTAGAATTTCATGTTTATATAAAGCCAATGTTACGCTTACATCACCTAAGAATTATATTTTACAATTAATTATGTGAAACACTAAGGATTAATTCCCTGTATTTTTCAAAAGACATGTGTAAGAAATCAATCAGGGTATGAATGATAATGTTAACATGCTGTACCTCTGTATCCCTCTTTTGACAGCAACTGGTGCAAAACTAACTGCACGTATAATCTGTGGGAAGGAGCTCTGGGAGACAGCTAAGAGACAGTGACAATGTCTTTAAACAGGCAGACAATTCCTACTCAACTTGGAGTTTTTAAAGTGAACTGCAAAGGACTCGCATGCCTCTTGGTCTTCACAGTAAGCATTTGTGGCAGTGCCCCAGGGATGTGTCCAACAGCCTGCATCTGTGCCAGTGATATCATAAGCTGCACCAATAAGAACCTCAGTCGAGTACCAGGAAATCTTTATAAATGTATAAAAAGGCTGGATCTGAGTTATAACAGAATTGGGCTTTTGGAGCCTGAATGGGTCCCAGTGTTATTTGAAAAACTGAACACTTTAATAGTCAATCATAATAGCATTAGCAGCATTGTCGCTGGAAGCTTTTCTACAACTCCAAATCTGAAGTACCTAGACTTGTCATCCAACAGCCTGAAGACACTGGGCAGCCCTGTGTTTCAGGAGCTAAAGGCACTGGAGGTTCTCCTGCTGTACAACAATCAGATAACACAGATTGACTCTTTAGCGTTTGGAGGATTGTACAATTTACAGAAACTATACTTAAGCTACAACTTGCTCTCAAATTTCCCACTGGACTTATATGTTGGAAAACATAAACTGACAGACCTTGTATTGCTGGATGTTTCCTTTAATCACATCCGGTTGATGCCTATTCAGCGCTTGAGTTCAGTGCCAGCTAAACAACTTAGTGGAATTTATCTTCACGGCAACCCATTTAATTGTGACTGCGTCCTGTACTCCATGCTAATCTTCTGGTATCAAAGGCAGTTCAGCTCAGTGGTGGACTTCAAAAATGAGTACAGCTGTTTGTTGCAATCAGACCCGAGAGGTCACAATAAACTGCCTTTACTGCTCGACAACTTTCTGAATTGCTCTGAAAGCACTGTCAACAGCTCTTTCCAAGCCTTTGGGTTTATTCATGATGCCCAAGTTGGTGACAGGCTGATTGTACACTGTGACAGCAGAATCAGTGATGTGGGCACACACTTTGTTTGGATTAGTCCAGACAATAGATTGCTGGAGCCAGACAGGGAGACCAATAACTTTAAGGTGTTTCCTAATGGCAGCCTGGAGATAACAGATGCCCAGCTAGAGAACTCAGGACTGTATTCCTGCATCGCAATAAATAAGAAAAGATTATTAAATGAAACCGTAGAGGTTAGAATAAATGTTAGCAATTTCACAATGAACAGGTCCCATGCTCATGAAGCATTTAATACAGCTTTTACCACCCTTGCTGCCTGTGTGGCCAGTATTATTTTAGTATTGCTGTATCTCTATCTGACCCCCTGCCCATGTCAATGTAAGGCGAAAAAGAAGAAGAGGAAGCTGAACCAAAGCAGTGCCCACTCTTCCATACTGAATTCTACAATGCCGCAAGAGCTGAATTCTACAATGCCAGCAGACGAGAAGAAGGCTAGCACTGGTAAACGGGTAGCTTTTCTGGAACCCGTACACGAACCAAAACACAGTCAGAATGGGAAAGTAAAACTGTTTCCTAATGACAGCGTCATTACTGAGAGTATCTTAAAAACTACTCGAACAAAATCCGACTCTGATTCTGTCAACTCTGTGTTCTCAGATACACCTTTCATGCCACCAACTTAGTTTGCTGCCTGTGTCTGTATTGTGCAGTTACTTTTCTGAATACCTCCTCTGCTTGTAGCAACCATCAGGAAAAACAAATAAAAAGAGAGAAAATGTTTTAAAAAATTTATGTATTGTCAGTCCTTGAACTGCGTCTCCTCTCTTGAGTGCAGGGCCACGCAACATTGATACCTTGTTTGGGAAAAGCAAACAGCATGGCATTAATGTGAATGCTTTCAGTGCATGCATAGCCTTAGTTTTACCTTCTGCTCCATACATAGAAATTTCTTGTGCATGCTTAACGATGGTTTCAATGCATATAGCTGACCTGCAAAGGCAAAGGCTGCCCCCCGTGCACCACTCTTGGTTGCGCTTATAAATCAGCTCTTCTACAGTGAGCACAGAAGCAAATTCACATGGCTACTGAGAAAAATGTCCAGACTTCCTGCAATTTCTTTCACGGGCTCATGAAACCTTTCCATAAAATTACTAGGGGATAAAATTCATGACTTTTCTTGGACTGATCAGCACAAAAAATTAAATTTGCCACTGGTATGGCTAGCAGCACTGGGTAAATGTTTATGGCCTTCAACTGATAGTGTATTTGCAAGTAATTGCTTGAAAACATTAAATGAGGGATATTGTAATAATTTTATGCAAAACTTAATCATGAGATTACTTGTGAGAAGTCAAGTGCTTGTATTTGTTTATAAATATTTCACAAAATGAAAAGTTAACACACTACTTTTGCAGTTGCCTTAGTCAAAGAATTAAAATTGTCCGTCATGGGGACTCATACTAATCAGGAGTAATTAGAGTACTAATTAAGCTGTGGTAACTGGATTGATTCTAACCAGTTTTCTTAACCACCGCTGCATACTGTATGCTTGGTGTCACATGTGGTGCACAAATCTGCCACCATTACCATGGCTCCCACTTAATCTTAGAGGTGGGTGGCTTCTCTTCAGAGATCACTTCATGAAATAGGGGAAGTATTTCAATTATTTTTTTCAGTGGCATGTGGTTCCTGCAGCCTTAATAAATTTGTTTCCTAAAGTTTTTTCTTAAAAGAGGAAATACAGTATTTGGACAAACTCATGGAAAGTATAGAAGACTTTACACACTCAATTCAGAAAACACAGCTTTTGCCTAGGCTTGGCACTTGTCTTATGAGTAGTGCTTTCTTCCTTGCCCAAATGTAGCATGGTTAAAGTTTATAAATCTTGTAAGACTGACCTGGACTGGTTGTGCAATATAGGTTGCATGAAGTGTTGGGTTATTGTCATAAGCATACGGTTTTATTTGCTCTTTCTTTTTCTGTTTTATTTGCCTTTTTTAATTTAAGCCTGCTTACATTGGGACTGGGCTAGACTTGCCAGTCTTCCTCACATTGATAAGCAGCAACTTCAAAGAGGTTTTTCAAGGAATTACAATTTACCAAAGACAAGTAAATGGAGCATGTCTGTCTCACTCTATTTTGGGGGAATATACTGACAGGATAAAGGATAAACAAAATGAGAATCAAAGGGCTACATGGTATGGCAACTGTAACTTATTTTTGAGAAGCTTACTGTAACAGCTACTGGCCATTTTTTGTGATTTCTTTTGAGAAGTGTATCATCATGCTAAAGCTCATATCTGGCTAAGCCAAAGCTATTAGCAATTGATTTGCTATGGAGAAATCCTGATGTAGCTAATTGTTTGAAAACAAGCTATCTGACAAACAGATTAGCTCAGGAAACAGCATTTCTGTGTTGTGTACAAGGTATGTGGAATTAGCAGACTGCTGGAGATTTTAATGAAGATATTCAGGGAAATGGAAAATCAAAATTGTTTTTCCAGGTAGAGAATAATAAATATTTAAGAGAGGAAGATGACTAGGAGTTTGTATCTTTTATTGTGTAAATTTAAAAATAGTTTCTATGTCTTATCTGATAGCCTGTGTCCTGGATTTCTCATTGTTGTTTCCATCAACTACAAAAAATCTGAATGATATTTTTAATGCAGAGAGAGCTCAGTTCTGGGGTGTTGAGTGCTCTTGTACCAATCCAGACATGGTCTTAAAAGGGGTTTGCAGTATGGCAAAGGTACCAAGCTACTGGCAAGAAGTCTGACTGGGCATGGGGTCACTCACTGCCTCTGCAAGATGCCTGGAGTGAGATATTCCCCATGCTGCTCCAATAACCCCAGGTGGTTTTGCTTTCTCTTGTGTTCTGTGCCTGAGACCATGCCACACAGGTCATAGGCAGAGCTCTAAGCTATAGCTTAATGCTGTGTCTTTTTGGGGAGCTCCTATGAATATATGTCCTCCACCACTGTAACAGTAGTGAGCAACTTTTCTCTTGCTCAAAGGACTGTTGCATTGATTCCAGCTGTCTCATGGATCAAAAATAAGGGTAATGGCTACAGACAGCTCTGGCAGATCATGTCCTTGCCTCTTTGTGTTTCCAGTACTTCACACACCTGCAAGGCATTAGCCTTCGTGAAGGAGTCATGTGAAGCCAGTATGAAACCTGTCAGGCCAGTCCTGAGGGGAGCAACAGCAGCTGTGCAACCACATTATCCCCCTGTTCCCCACCTGTAGTGGCAGGAGAGAGAGTAGGTTGCTTGCTGGTCATCTCTTCTGACCTCAATAAGGTCAAGTGTCTGACTGTGACCACCTCACGATGAACAGATACCATGTCTGACTGCCCCTCAAATGCACTGAACAGCTGCCATCCAAGCTGGAAGCTGAGGGTGAACTGCTTTCCTGATATCAGCCTGACTTCTGCAGTGGGTTCTGACAGCCAGCACCATGTCCTTTAAACTCAGGTGTTTACCCCCTGCTTGTTGGGCAAATGGTGCTCCAGGTAGTAATGTATCTATTTCCTTAGCATCACTTCTTCAAAAAAACAGATGTCTGAGAACTTCTAATTTTTGACAGTGTCAAAGAACTAACAGTTTATATAGCTTGTTCTTCTGAACAAGCAAAACCCTAGGGCCAAGTTGTGATTAAGCCATAAACTTTAATTTAGGTTTGCACAAGATGATTTCTTCCTACTAGGATAAATCAACCTCCTTCAAAGTACTTTTATACCTTGTCTGCAGCTTATTCCTAATAATGTCTCATGTCTTTGAACTGGTTGAGAATAAACCAGCCATTATGGGCCAAATCATACAATTGTGGTCATCCCTAAAGTAATGCAGCTGTGACAGTCCCCTGTGGACTACAGCCAGTAGCTGACCCACCCAGCACACACTTCTATTCTCTTCTGCAAGCTTGAATTGTCACCATTTGGCTATGGCAAGAGTTGGGACCTTTCACAGCCTCTTGCTTCCTTGTGCACTGTGTAAGAACCGGCTTCCTGAAGATGATCTCTGGATGTACTGCAAAGTTGCTGTAAGGGATTATTTAAATTGATTAATTAAAACAAATACTTCTAAATGAGAGCTGGCATTGGTACATAGTAGCTTTTGAGAAGACAGGATACATGTTTCATTTACAGATTGAGCAATTTAGATTTTACTGACTTTCTTTTTGCTTCTTTGGTAAACATTACTTTGATCATTAAATATGTAGAGAAAGAGAGTGCATATTTAAGGAATTTTTCTTCTGTTCCTTTTTTTTCTATTTGCCCAGTAGGGCTCAGATGTGAATAAAAGTAGAAGTTTGAGGTTGAGGGCAAGAAGGCCAAGAAATATCTTGAGCCAAAGGCTAATATCTCAGCTCTTGTCTTCAGTGAGTACATGACAAAAATAAAATAAAAAAAACCCTACAAAACACCTAAATACAGATTTCATGGGTATTTTGTAGGGTCTGGATGTTAACAGGGCTCTGACAGCAATAAAGCTATGAAATTGATCCACACAAAAAAATCAAAGCGTTAGAGTATTAATATCTGTTTCTGAATAGGAGAGATCCCAAACTCGCTGAAGTGGTCCAGTCACAGATAAAAGGACCATACTTCTCTTCTTTACCTACAGAAATCTCAAATATTAATATTAAACAATTGAGCAGATGCAGTGGAGAAAGTGTTTTTCTTGTGAATTACTAGTTTATGCTCTGATTTTGTTAAGTGGATTTTTTTCCTTGTATGAATCTATATTTCTTTCCTTTTCAGAATAACTTAATTAACTGGAATAATATTTTCTCATTTATTTCTCCTAATGAAGTCTACATTTAGTAGGAAAGGAGAGGAGGGTCAAGAATGATATAATCAGTTTTTGACATCACTGAGATATTAGGAAAAGTTATTTGTGAATTGAAGTGTTTTCTTTGAGGTTATTCAGCCATAGACCTGTGGGTTGTTTTATTTTAACTGATATTTTCTGTCTCATTTGAATAATTCAAAATGGCATGTTTTAAAATTTTTTAAATGAGAAAGATTATTCATGCAACTTTTGGCATCAACTTAGCTAAATTGATTTAGAAACCATCACTGATATGAAACAATTCTGTTAGCATAAAGTAACTCTGGTATACAGAGAGGCTGTGCAGTCTATATGAATATTTCTCGTGACTGTCCGGGATCAACTGTAAGTATTTCCTTGGCAAGATAGAGCCAAATTGCATTATGCAGACCTTTCCTAGACAATTGGGAAGATGTTTTCTTTAATCAGATTAGCTCAATCAACTAACTCAATTGAAATCCTCATTTAGGCCTTACCACAGATCCCATTTTAAATTCAGTGCTTTTATTTGTACTTTTGAACTATGCATGGAACATTATAAGCTGCTACAGCATATATGCCTGATAGGGATGTCAGGAGAGGGGAGGAGTGGTGGAGGGGGAATGAACCTTTGCTTGAGAGCTGACTAATATGGTACACTGCCAATTTCTGTCCTCAAGGGTTAATGGCCCTAAAACCAAAATGCTCACCAAATCCAAACAAACTTTAGACACCCTCTCCAGAGGGGATGGAGGCTCTATTATGTGCTCTGGCTGCAAAGTACAGAACCTCAGCAAATACAAATGCTGCCCTTTGCGTAAGACAAAATGTCCTTTCACGGAAATGAAACGACTTCTAGCACTTTCCCTGGTAGCTGAGGTGATGTCGGCAGTAAAAGACCGCAATATAAATTAGCTGTGATAAGCACTGCTGTTGCCTGGAGCAGCTCAATTAGCCTTTTGCTTTTGGAGCAAAAGGGTTTATAGCACTAGATAGAGCCTCAGACTGGATTACATCTGACTTTTGTCCTCTTTGCTCTTTTTACCTGACATCAGAATCACTGAAAGCTATTGGATTTGTTATATTTTTCACCAGAGTATTTAGAAAAAATAAAACCTTGGGCCTTTCTCTAGGCAGTTCACCATTGCCTAAGCATCAGTGGATAGGAAACAAAGCTTTTCACCTTGGTTTTAGTATCAGAACTGAGATTCCTTCTGATTTAAGTCATAGGGAACAGTGGTTGGTATGGTATTACTACTGCTACTAACACTCAGATATGTCAATCAAGGCTGGATCCTGCTGAAGAAGATGTTTTGCAAAAGAGCAGAGAGTATACTTGCTTCTCTGACCTTCTTTTTAAAGCAGAAGTTAATATACTTGAGCTATTGCCTGAAATAATTTCAAATCCTATTTTTTAAATTACTTTCATGAGTGCGAGGGAACGACATTTGTTGTTGCAACCCTATCAGTTGTTTTGTAATTTGGGGATGCGAAAACTTTCTTTTATCTCTTCCCTTTTTATCCATATAGTAAAAAGGTAGTTCCTCTATTTGTCAATGCATGTGTATCCCCTCCCGTTTTTATTTTCAAGCGTGGATAATCACTGCATATAGTTTAAGCAAAATGATCATGTTGCAGTGAATGCTTTCTGTGATCCATATGTTCTGTAGAGATAAGCTGATTTGTTGAGTGTGCTGTCCTGTATATCATTTCCCATTTTAAAAACATATTTAGACATGCTGTTATTATTGTTGCTACTGTTATAAAGCTATCCTGTCATTATTCTGCCATTTTCCTATTCTTCAAAAATACAAGTAAATATCTCCCTATCCAGTATATACAATAGTATCAAATTAGACCTATACCAGATACCATGGACTCTAGAAGTAGCTCTGAGCTATGGGGATATTTCCTGCAGCTCTCCTGCTTGGTAAGGTATAACTTGCAAAATTTGTGCTTATCTGCTATAAGGACTCAAGGACTAGACTAGCTTTCATTACCTGTGTCAATATTTCACCTGCTGTATTATACCACATTCATTTCATAGTGATGACATGTGAGAGGGGGGCCCTTTTTCTTAACAAAACTGTGTTCAAAAGGCAGACCGAGGACTGGGGCTCAGAGGCAGTGCTGTTTTCCTTCTACCCAGAGGCAATGAGCTTCTCTTATGGAGAGCACAAGCTGCAATTTGTTACAGAAGGAATTTTTTTCCAGGAGAAAGATACTACTCTTTGAGTTAAAGGTGATAAAATAATGTACAGGAATCAAAAGTTAAAACTGAAGAACAAAAGCAGTACCCAAAATCTTGGCAGGGGCTCAGGCTTTTGAATATATTAAATTTTCATACTGTTTTAGTAATTTCCTCCTGCATGGAGAACTGTTGTCTCAATAATGCAGATGTAGATCATTCATCCCAGAAATGAGAAGACCTTACCATGGACAGAAAAGTACTTTCTGGTTATCTTTAATTGTCATCATGTCATGAGCTCACAGTGGGTAAACCACAGTAATATTAATCCGTGATTTCCCTAAGAGACAGTGGATAGTTGGACTGGGTGGCAGAAGGACTAATGACCTGGGAATTTCTTGAAGTTTTTGTGGGTTTGGGTAGATTGTCTTACTGTCTCCAAGTCATCACTTGTAAGATTCTGAAATATCGTCACTGAAGTAGGGGTGTTTAGGATTTTTATTTTTCCTCTGCAGAAAATCAAGTAACTACTTAA